CGAACCTCTCACCTCAGCTTCCCCAGTCCCTGGCATTATAGGCGTCCGCCACTGCCAGCCACTGTGCCCAGCAGATTAGATTACATTTTTTAAAAATTCCTTTGCTGTTATTTTAATGGAGTCTAGAGGAAGGGTTAAGTATATGCATTCCTGTGCCATTTTGAATCAAAACCCCCTAGCTTTTTTAAATGGAATTCCGAAAGAAAATACTGCCGTAGCTATTAATATAATAATTGTATGTTTTATTTTAATTTTGCATTTTTATATTAATACAGTTTCAATGGAAGACCAGGTTACCCATAATATTCTATGCTGCCTGTAATATATTATTATTTTTTAAATATGAAACAGTCGATGACCATCCGCCAGTTCGTCTATTAAGTAAACCTGGGGAACTGAGAAGAGAATATGAAGAGGAGGTAAGCAAGGTAGGTGCTAAGTAGTTAATTCTTTTTTTCGGAAAATTTCTTTGCCGTGTTTATATAGCTAGTATATGTTGAAATGTAAATAATTTTGATGTACTTTATAAAGGCTCTGTTTTTATATATATTCAAAATAGTTATAAACTAGCTTTAATTTATACATAATTGGTGCCCTTCTTATGTAATAGCTATCCCTGAGCATTCAAGCATGAAGGAAATTTTTTCATTTCCCTGAAGTTTTGAGCTTAAAGAACAGAAAAAAGACAGTAGATTAGATTATAACTTTAGATGAAGAAGCATAAAGGGCTAATTGTGAAATACCTAAATAGGAAAGGAGGGAGTTGTGAGCCCCTTAGCTATTGAAATTAACTCGTACTTGGAGAATGCTAGTGCTTTTCCTACACTCCTGCTTTGTGTAGATCAAGGCTGTCTAATAGCAATAAATTGTGAGCCCGTATGTAATTTAAATTTTTCTAGTAGCTACAATTTTTTCAAGATTTTTTTTAAGGTAAAATTATGTTTAATATTATATTTAACCCACTATATTTAAAATGAAATTTTACCATGTAATCAATACAAAAATTATTAATTATACACAATTATAATTTTTTTCTTAGTATTCAAAATTTTGTATATTTTGCACTTATAATACATCTCAATTTGTTTTTTTGTTTTTATTTATTTATTTATTTTTTACCTCCCTGCCACCCCCACCCTGGGCACTGACCCATCTCAATTTGAACTAGCCACATTTCAAGTGTTCATTGGCCACTTGTAGCTACCATAGTGGCTACCATAGTTGACTGTGCAGGTCTAGAAGACCTAATAATTATGGGACAGCATATTGTCTAAGCCGTGTCCTAAGTAAGGGTTTTGTTTTTTTTGTTTTTTTTGAGACAGAGTCTCTCTGTGTTGCCCGGGCTAGAGTGCCGTGGCATCAGCCTAGCTCACAGCAACCTCAAACTCCTGGGCTCCAGCGATGCTCCTGCCTCAGCCTCC